CATCCCTACACGTAGGTGCAATTTAGAATTTTGGCCTAAATTAAGCTTAATTTTGGTCATTATTCAAAAAATAACGCGCATGCCAGTTATTTCGTAATATTAAAAATGTTTTACAGTTTATGATTTCTAAATTAAAAAGCTTCTTAGGATATCTCTAAATAAAAAAAATTACTAAATATACTGTAATTGAAACTTATCGAGCAAATTCTTATGATCATAGATTTTTTCTGTTATTTTTTGCACGTTATTACGTAAACATAACAATCCCGAATTAAAAACTCAGTTAGCAAATCACGACTTGTAATCATGATCATAATTGCACGATAACATCGATATTGGATCATGCGAAAATATCACAAAATTTGTCCGACAAAACAAATTTCATGAAATATTAATCTTTTATGATGTATACTATATTTTGTATTTAATCTACGCATAAAAGATTTTTATTTAAACATTTGTTTTATAATTAATTAATAAATTAACTAATCAAATTAAATAGAAAATAAAGTTAATAGACATTATATAATACGAAATTATGGAATGTACATTATTTTATTATGGTAGAGCTTGGATCCGGTTATCCGTTGGATGCAAATTTAATAGTAAAACCGTCGGATATCCGTTAAGTTTAATATGAAAACGGATGACCGGATCCAAGCTCTATATTATGGCATTACGATTTATGACTTAACTGTATTCAAGATTTTATTCGCAATTCATTATAAATTAATTATGAATTAATTATAAATTAATTATGAATTAATTATAAATTAATTATGAATTAATTATGAATTAATACGAATTGATTATGGCATAATTTAGTAATTACGACGACAATTATAGTTCAACTAATCCATCTAAAATCCTTAATCTAGCAACCTCTCTACAAATATTACATTCCATATTACGCATGCTCATATATGCCTTTTCTTCAAATTTATCCGAAAATTTCATAGTCCGCCACTCATGATATTCTAAATATGCCGTCTCATTACTAGCCAAATATTTTAAATAGTTTGCGAGAGATTCAGTGTCCGGAAAGTCATCAATAATGATAGCAGATTTAGGATGCGGTAAATATGA